TCTCCCCCTCCGTCTCGCTGCGTGCAGCAACGCACAAAGATAGCGCTGTCATGTAAAACGAACAATATATAGGCACAAGCGGTTAATGAAGATCAGATGCTTCGAATCAACTGATAACAGTGTAGTGGAACGAGCAATTAGAAAGGAAAGGTACCGTAGAGATTGGTACATAAAGGTCGAGGACACGTGCTACAACTGCAAGTATTGACAAAATAATGCATGAATAATGAATAGTTTTAATCATTCAAATTTAGTTTCTGTGAAACAGCTCAAATATAGAGCCCAAATTTACATGATCAAGAGTGCATCAGGCCGAGGACAACTTTCAGTTACTATTAAAAGTTTCTGATACTACATCATTCAGGTGGAAAGCGAATTTAAGCTGCACTTACTCAACATCATCAAAGGGACACCTAGCGGCTTCATGGTATATTTACTTCTGAAAATTAAAGAGTAAAAACATGTTCAATATAAATTATGGTTCCAAAAAAAATTACATTTTCCATAGAGACCAGTATCCAACCTATTACTCACCGACTTGCAACATTGCAGTAAACACAGTACATTGACTCATGCAAGCTTCTTGAACATACCATTCATTCGTATAGTAGTGGACACCTGGAAGGGCATTATATCTTGACTACTCAACAACATAGTTTTAGGAAGCATCACTCTTGCGTTATACCCAACTAGTTTTGACAGCTTACGACTGGGCTGAGGCAGTAAATTCTGGTAAACAAGTGGACATAGCCATATTTTGACTTCTCCAAAGCGTTTGATACTGTCCCCTATGAGCGTCTGAAAGCTAAGCTTCATACGTATGGAATACGTGATTGGGGTTGATTGGGAATCTGTGGACTCTGGTGTGCCCCAAGGCACAGTCCTTGGCCCTCTTTTATTTTTGCTTAATTTAATATCAACGACAATCAGACAATCTTCAGTTAGAAATTCGTCTTTTGCTGACGATTGCATTTTACATAGAAATATCCACAAATGGGCTGACTGCATCAAACTTCAGGAAGATATTGATAAACTCCATCAATGGGCCACTACATGACAAATGCAATTTAGTATACAGAAATGTTCCATCATGCATATGGGAAACTAAAGGAAGAAGTTTAGTTGTTATAATCTGAATAATCATTCGTTGGCAACGGTAGATCATCCCAGGTATCTGTGAGTCTTTCGTTCTCACTAATTTAAATTTCCATTATAATTATATGGTCAAGAAGGCTAACCAGGTCCTAGGTATGTTGCCTAGAAACTGTGAAAGCAGTGCTCAGAAATGGCAAAAACAACTGCTTATTTAGCACCCGTTCGTCCACACCTGGAGTACGCTTCAGTAGTTTGTGATCCCTATAAAGCTAAATGCATCAATAAGCTTGAGATGGTTCAACGACGTGCAGCACGCTTTATTTATTAACAACAACCCTGGTAGCGAGGCTAGTGTGACCCATATATGATCACAAACCTTGGGTGTGACACCCTAAAACAGCCTTGTGAAGCTGCTAGATTGGTCATGATGAAACAAATATTTGTGGGTACATCTGCTATTCCAAAGTCTATTGTCAAGCATGCTTCTACAAGACCACGTAGAACAGTCACTGGAAATAGATCTCAACTTGATTTGCCGCACAGCAGAACTGAAGCGCACAAACATTATTTTGTACCCAGAACTTGTAGACATCGGAACAGGCTTCTTGATTCAATAGTCTCAAAAATTTCAATCAGCTTTTTAGGGGATCAGGTTCTTGAGTTTATCAGATCCAGGGATAGGAACTGAAATTAACTTTGTGCCACTCCATCTTCTCCATAGACTATACATGGATTTGGTGAATCTTTACAAGACGTAAATTCCTCTACTGCCATGAAATCCATTAAACTAGAGATCCCCCTGACAATCATGCGTGGAACAGATTATGCCCTGCAGCCCTGTTAACTTATTTTCACGCTCTCCTAAGTTGACAAGTTTTTTTTTGTTAATTTATTTTCGTTATTCGTTGCTATGTTTAATAATAACTTGTGTTACAAGTACAGTCTTGTGAATGCTAAGGGTTGGATTTTCTCTCTATGACACTACTGTGCAGTCACTTGTCAGCCTTGCCTTTACCCTTAGATACTGAGTTTACTATTGCTTTGCCTAATATGATTCAGGTTTTTGAAATTTTTGCTGTCCCCATACAGTGTCACAGTTTCCAACATTTCACGCTCTTCTAAATTTATCAGAATTTTAAAAAAAATTGTTTCGCTTCTTGTTTACAGGGCAAGAATGACTGTGGACAATATTTTAAGGGTCTCGAGGTTGTACACTATGTGGAAGGGGTACGTGGTACTTCTCGTACATGCAACCTATACGATTTGCACATGTATGTGGAGATGCCATGCCTTACTTTGAAGGGGCGCACTGTCTTTAATTGCCTGAGTTTTTTAAACTTGTTATGAAGCGCAGAGAAGGCTGTAAGATTCGGTGAAATCCAGCCCACAGATGGCGTCCTTTTGCAGGCCCAGTTACCGAGTAGACACAAAGGTTCATTGAAGATCGTGGACGATTCTATAGACCATCGTCGAAATTCTCAACAGTTTCTTGCCTCGAAATGAAGTCATCCACTGCGATAAATGTAATCGTAACCTCAACGGGGAAGAGAAAAAGTGGTGAGCATGTTGCTTTATTTTTTGGAGTTATACAGGGTCATTATTTTCTGTTGCACGTTTGGACGAGTTACCCACGTTACGTTGTAATGCCACGTGAATTTACATCAACATGTGCATGGGTTCTCGTTATAAAGAACATTGTAATACGAGATTGTCACGAGGGCGGGACTGTAGTTTAGGGTTCTTCGTCTTTGCTATATTGCAGCCTGTTAGGCAGACTTTGGTTCTTACAGAGTTAGCCGTGATAAAATGACCATTCGTGAGAATTTGCATGTTTTGTAATGGCGTTACTGTAGTTTGCTATAGCCGGTATTGTTTTTATATTTTGCTGTTTCTAGTTCACGAGTGTTCCTCAGCACTGCCTGTGTATCAATTTAGTTAATATATGGAAATGTATGGGGCGGCGCATGGCAGGGGTAGCCATAATGTGACACTGTCTCCTGTGCTACAGCTTCGATTTTTGATCAAAAGAGGCAGCGGTGGAGAGCCGTAGCCAGTGTTCGATACTTGTGCATGTCGTAGTCTCACATGCAGACGCCGCACCGCGTGTTGTCAACATAGAATACAACATAAATCGTAAATATTTCTTGTGGGGGGTTTTCCTGAAGATACGTATACACCACATATGGACGTTTGTAATGACACACATGATAAAGCCAAAAGTGCATTTTTTTTAAAGGAGATATTGAGCCATTTCATGCAACAGCGTCACTAGTGAGCATCATTCCTTGACATAAACTGATTTTTATCGGCTTCATTAAACCTTAGTAAATTCTAGACTATTCGAATATCCACTGGACTTTCGGTTAAGCATGCTGTATTGCTGTGACAGAATAAGATCACAGCGAACGTGATTGTTAAGTCCGTGATGAATCTGGCTTTAAAAAACGTTTGCATGCAAATAACCATAAGGGTGGTCCTTAGTTCAACGCTGGCTTCATCTTTACGTGTTACACATTCTTGAGAAAACCCCTCTTGCAAGAATATCATGATTTGTTTTGCAGAAATAGAGGGAATAAACAATTTTAACTGCTCGAAAAAGGCTAATGCGTATTTGAATATATCATTGACTCACAAAATAATCCATCAATCGTCTCGTTTCCACCACAAAAGCTCGCTGGCGTTCCAGTGTACGACCCTGAACAATAAGCAAAACTAAGTTGAGGAAGTTAACATACGTTAGATGACTGTATACATGTTTTGATGGAAGTCACAAGGAAATAACGACCAAGAGTGACGGACCACAGATTTGTGTGTGTCCAACCTGACCCAGTTTCCTCAGTCTGCGAAACCCACTGAAAATGTACAATTGTTATTTGTAATTCTGAAGTGTGATTTTGGTTTTTTCTCTAAAACGGATGCCCTCCAAAATAAATTTGTGCCCTCAAAATTAACTCAAAACCTGACAAAACTCAGGCTTCTGTGGCGTTAAAATTATCCCACTATGATTTTTTCTCTAAAAATTATTTCCATTTTGAACGAAAAGCATTTTAGCACACAAGCCAAGAGGGCAAATATGGGATGGAGTGTCCCCTTGCTAGACTGGACTGTTGGAGTAATAAATAATAGGGACCAATAGCTACTTCTCATGGAACACTGACTGTGTGTGGGCACAAAGTAAGCGCGTTCGTAATCATAAACAAGTCAAATTAATACATTCAGAACTGTGAGCGCTGCTCGTGTGTTATTGTTCACTTTAGACGTACGAGAAAGCAAGAACATGTTCTGGAGTAGTATGCTTCTCAAAACTATCTGAATCTGTGCAAAAAAACAGGTCCTGGACCTCCATTCTGCGCAGTTACTTTATCACATAGACAATAGGCAACGTGGATTTCACATCGTGTTCATGTCAACACACTGGAGTTCTTAAATAATATAAACCAACATTAAAGACCAAGGCCAAGTGGATGATCATATTCATTCCCATATTCATGATTACTGTTCGATTCAGAAAGTCAAAAATTGTCATTAAAAAAGTTCCAAAGATTTTGTTCGACTCTGTGACATCATTACAAAAAGGTTATGTAGTTCCACTCGCTAACAGTCGTAGATAATCTCCATGGGATAGGTGCAAGCATGGTGAGTGTTGTGTGAGGTGATGCACAATCAGCTGGTCCAACTGCTTTAGACCTACCACGACGACCGAACCCAAGGTTTGTTTATGGACGTGGCGGCTAGTTTGCAACTATGGCGTGTGTTTGGCCATTGCACAGGGTAAACAAGCCTTATTTGGCTTAAAGAGTTGGAATTTACACACAACAAATGTCGCCTATGACAAATTCACAATACTGACTCCGTGCATAGGCCCTGGAGTTGTATTTTATTTCTTGGTAATTAAATGCGTATGATCACGCTCCTTTGACAATCAACTTAATATCGGATATGATCCTGTTCGGTGAGTCCGTTCGGTATTTCACAAAGCAATGTCATTAGGGAACAAAACGTGCGTGAGCCCGCGTAGAGCAAGGGCAGACATGGCACGCTCGTCCCAATGATGTCATGCGCAGTTGGAATACCGAATGATATTATTTAGCTAGTTATCTAGTTATATTATAAGTAAATGTCAAGTCAAATCAACCCTTATTACAACTAACTGATGGCCTTGCATAACGTTAAGGTGCATGATATGAACTATAGTTGAGAGTTGTGCATTCAAGTTATTCACATATTTACCATCTCACGGCAAAATAGTTGACATAGCATTTTTTCTTTGACTAAAGGGACTTTCCATGTCTTGTTAGGGTTATCCTGTTTCAATGACGTGCGTCAGGATAATTAAATAGTATGAATATACGTGTCCTTAACCCGGCCAGAAGTCAGACTGTTTAAACATTTATAAAGGCGTAAAGGAAAAATAAACTAGATACGGATCTCTCATATTGCATTGTGGGAGCAGATACATGTTATTTTCCTCGCTAATCTTTAAGAATTCAGTACTCGCAACAAGCCACTACGTGATACCGGATGTCTTTCTGGAATATACTACAGGGTAGGGATTGGGAACAAGTCTATCCCAACAGGACGGAATTTCTCATCTGGGAATTCCCCACGCAGTCCCGTAGCAAGCAGTTCAAGGGTGCAGCCATTAATTCAAGTTAGAATTTCTGGCCAGCTCATTAGCATTAAAAAGTGCCCCACAGTGTCTTTGAAAAGGAGATTGTATGGCCCCCAAAT